TTGACATAGGTTTTGAAACTATGCTTTAATCTTAGACTAGTTTTGATATGTCAAAATAGTTTTGGAAACCAACACTAATTTAGACACATTAAAAAAAAATGCGTAAATTGTGAGATATATGAAAAAAATTTATATGACGCACTTAGATCCATTACCGAACTTAATGACTACAACGATGCTCTACGATCAAAGATCCACCTACAAAGAAAAGATTGCATTTGATTTGCTAGAAATAAATAAAAGGTAGACTAGTTGGTAGATAATAGATGTCGATTTTTAGCTAAGTTCTTTTCTTTTCTTTTCTCTTCTTGCTTAAGTCGGGAGATAATATCTGAAGTAGAATTAAGTTTATTAGATATGTTTTTTATAAGGTTGTTAGAATTGATTGACGATGGGGCACTATTGGGAATTGGTTCAGAAATATGAACGGGTTTGAATTCCTTTTTTATTTGCATATCAAAAGAATTATTGTTCTGTAAATCCGATTTGGAATATATCATCTGTTGTTTGCGTAATGGTAAACCTTTGGCATGTCTTTTCCAAATTTCATACACTCGGCGAGTTGACGTTTTATATTTATCTGCCATTGTTTTAGATGCATTTTTAATACTCCCTCTAGATTGAATGATTTCTTCGATTGCTTCTGGTGGTAAATAAGGTGTACCAGCACGGTAATATTTCACTGTTATACATTCAATTTTCTTTTATAATTATAAAAAACTATTGAAAATTATCGAAAATTATCGAAAATTATCGAAAATTATCGAAAATTACCGAATATAACAGAAAATTAATATTAATATTAATGATTATCGAATCTTACCGAAAATTATCGAAAATTATCGAAAATTATCGAAAATTATCGAAAATTACTGAAAATTATTACCGGAAATTATAAATATATTTCTTTTTCCAATCAATATTTTGAATTTGATTATATGGCCAATGTATTTACCTTGAATTCCATTTCTGAATTAAATGATTGTAATGAAGCATTACAGAAAAAGTATTCCGATCAAGAGAAAAGTTTCAAACGGGAAAGAAAGACTTGGTCTCTAGAAAGAAAAGATTTAAATCGTGAATTGACACAAAATAATAATGAACTCCAGAACTTACGTACCCAGGCTTTGGAATTTGCCAATATCGATAAGCAATTACGAAGTGAAAATATTAATCTAATTTCTAGGAATACTCAGAAGGATCGTTATCTTGCGGATTCTAAAGCCGAAATTATTGCAAAGACAAATGAAATAATATTGCTTCGGGGAAGAATAAAGTCATTGAACGGTAAGTTA